GCAACAAGAACCAAAGGTAAAAACCTTTACCCGTTGTCTATGACGCGACAAGAACCAGAGGTATAAAGTTGGTTGATGCCACACCCTTGAACAATTAAGAACGAGAATGATAAGTCAGGTTAGAACGCCACAAGAATAATCTTTATAAGTTATGTAAAGTTCTGAAATGAACCAAAGAGAAAAGTCTCTCAAAAACTCAGATTCAATAGCCTCCCCCAATTAGGGTTACAAGCCCCTTTAAATAGGGAAAAATAATTCTAATCAGAATAGAAAACTACCACCCTAAGCCCTAATCATAATAACCACGAATTGGGCCTTAAATAAATGAATGTTCAGCCCAAAATAATATAAAAAATGTGAAAATCACTAAAAGTAACCTAAAGTAACATGAAATATCAGTTTTTTACAAATTGTGACAGAATTGCGAGATTGACGCAAACTGTGTAATTTAGCATGAATGACCTCAATTAAGCTTCTCTTGAACCTGAATGACGTTTGTCAGGCCTTGATAATCATCCAAGCTTCGATTTACTTCTTGCATGTTGTTATCAACCCAGATCTGCTCAATAGGGCCATTTAAAGCTTCTCGCATCTTCCTAACTCTAGCTCGCGTGACTGGACCTCCTTGGGTGTGTAATGGATCACATGACGTAGTAGATATGCTGTCGTCTTGATTCCCATCAGAATTACTTTTCCCTATTTAAGGGGCTTGTAACCCTAATTGGGAGGCTATTGAATCTGAGATTTTGAGAGACTTTTCTCTTTGGTTCGATTCAGAACTTTACAGAACTTATCAAGATTATTCTTGTGGGGTTCTAACCTGACTTATCATTCTCGTTCTTAATCGTTCGAGGGTGTGGCGTCAACCAACTTTATACCTCTGGTTCTTGTTGTATCATAGACAACGGGTCAAGGTTTTTACCTTTGGCTCTTGTTGCGACATAAACAACGGGTCAAGATCCTATTATAAACCTGATTTAGCTTTCTTGGAGTTTAGAAATCCCTTGTGATGAGAACCCCAAAGAGAACAATGAGACCCACAGCACGACAAGGGATTTCTAAACTCTAGGAAAGCTAAATCAGGTTTATAATAGGACCTTGACCCGTTGTTTATGTCGCAACAAGAACCAAAGGTAAAAA